TTACTTTCTTTTTGGTAGTAATGCTGTTGCTCAGCTGTGTACGTGGACGCATACAAATGTAAACATCACAGTAACGCAGGGTCGCTAGTAACGAAATTGAGAGAGTAAAATGTTTTACTCTCCCAAAAAAAAGAAATTTACTGAGTTTTCGAACAAGATTGAGTTGTATATCAGCTGTTTATTTTGGCGGTTAAATTTGAAATATTTAGTGTATAAAAAAATTTGGCATATTTAATTTATTAATCGTAATATTAAAAATTGATTGTATTTTAGCAATGATAAAAATCTACTTGTCGGCTATAAAGTCAAACGATAAATATAGTGATAGATTTTTTCTAATAGTTCTTTAAAAAGACTTAAACTTTTTAAAACTTTCTTTGCAATAATTTCTTGTTTAGATTTTCTGTAAGGATGACTACTGAAGTACAAAAATATATTTAAAATTGCCTTCCTGTTACGGCAAACTGCTATGTTCTTATTACTATAATAGGTTGTGCCTTCAAAGAAAACTTTGCGAATGTAAATTCAAGCGTTAGCTTGGATTATTTTACAGTTATCTATAAAGAGCCGTAAGGCTGCAACTACCCATTTCAATCACCAGCCGTTCATAACTGCCGACGTCAGTAGTGAAATACATACACGAGTTATCGACGCCACTGAGAGCGAGAAATGTTGCCAGCTGCCAGTGTGTTTGCACACTTTTGAGCTGATATATAATTTTCGTCAACAAATTTCATAATTTAAGTGCCCGAATATAAACGCAAATCAAATATATAAGTTAACACAGGTAACCAATCATCCGGCCAAAATATTGCTTCAACGAAATCTGCTGACGGCGCGTTTACAGCTTTGCACATGACAACAACTAGTTAACACAAGTAGCCAATCATCCGGCCAAAATATTGCTTCACAATATTGCTTTAATCTGCTGACGGCGCGTCTACAACTTTGCGCGTGACAACAACAAACCAAATACAAGACAGTAAGCGGAATTGGTTCACGCGGCTAATAACGTGCAGCGACTAAAGTTAGGGCAAACAGTGTAGGTATTTAGACGCTAGCGTCGCTCTTGTGTAATTTAGTTATAATAACTCTTCCGCTGAGACCGGCTGCCCTTGTTAAGTGCAAGGGAAATAAAAATATTTAAAAACGAAGTTAACAGATCGTTTTACTTACAG